AGAGCTATCCGCACATAAAACTGCTTTCGTCTTCACTGTAGGCATAGAGAAGTAGAGGTCGGTTATTAAACAGCAGTAAATTGCTCTCCGTTTATAATGGGGACAGGATTGGTTAGCGATCTTCTTCGCTTGAGCGCATATTGACCTCCAATATCGTATATCAGCTCGAAATAAAGTTTCCTTTTAGATAAAAATGGAGGAGGTGTGTCGGACCGTGGTGCGACTGACGTCCTCGTCCGGAATGATTTTACCACGTTTTTGGTCATGAGCTTTTGAACTGGGGGTCATGTGATAACTGCGAAATTCTCCCACCAGGAAACACGCTAGCCGAGTGAGGAAACTGAATAAATACCACGTCTGGCAACTTTTCTAACTACCCTACCTAGGAAGCCGAAAGCCCTCTCAGAGACGAACATCACCAGTTCATGAATGATCGTCATGTGCTTTCATCCAGTTGGACTTAACTACAAGCCGCCGAATATTGTCTGACGCAGAAGTCAAAACATGCACGTCGTTTTGTTCCACAAGAATATCGGCTTTGTCATCTAAAGTAGGAAAGCTTTTCGCATCTTTTTAACAAACGGGTGCCTGAGGGGTGTGTAATATAGTCATACAGTTTGTATTGGAATTCTGAAGTGCACCCGGAAGCGTCGTCCTATATTCTGACTAAGTCTGAACGATCGACTGTCGCCCGCATCAGACTTTGACATCGGATTTTTTGTTTAAAGCGACACCACGGAAAGAGATACGAAAGGCGCCGGAGAATCACAATTTGACAAAAGTGATGGTTGTCGAAAAAGAAGACGAATTTTATTCCTTTTTTTGTACCCTTGTTTGTCGGCCGTGTCCAATATGACAAACCAATAAATAAATTGCAAACAGGCATCTGTCATTCACCCGAGAGAACTCTAAGCCTCCTCTTGCTTCTAGGAGTCAAATTTAAACTCTTACCATCTTGGTCAATCTCGAATTCTTTAAGTATCTTATGTGAGTAAACCGACGGTTCTACTCAAGCCACCTGTGAGATTCGTGTATTATTGACCGATCTGGCAACATGAACGTCCAAACTACTCGCCTGAAAAGAAGGGTCCTGGCTAACTGCTCCGTGAACTTACATGACGTATTGGCAGTGATGACCTGTGTTTTATTTGGCTATCGAACTGCATTGTTAGCGGAGTGAGATTTTTTTGGCACGGACTCCCCAAACAAGACCTAGATTTTGAGCATATTTGTAGGCTTGCATTAACATGGGTTCCAATTGCCAAAGAAAGTGAAATTAGTAAATGAATGAAGGGGACATTCATCCGCTTCCGAAGTAAAGACAACTTTATAGTCGTGTCTAACAAAATATTAAATGCCTGGCTAACGCTTGTCACAAGTACGTTTCCACTGTTTCGTGTCACGCGATCACTGAATCGACACGTCTAAGCATGAAAACATGTCGTTTAAATGATTCATTTATATATGTGATATATATATATATATATATGCAGAATGGCATTACCGACGAAGACAAGGGAGACAGGAATGGCCATTTGTGACTTATTAGCCGTCATCTGCCAGTCATACCCAACCCCAAAGTGTAAAACACCCGAGTCTCGAACTCGCGATCTGTTGGTTTAGAAGTCCACGCTTCTAACCACTGGGCTACGAGCCCGTTGCCCTGTCGTTTTCGATCGGGAATATACAATGGTAGAGGGCGCTCACTGATGGTTCTTACGGAACTCACTCGTTCTGTTGTGCCTTACGGGCTCTCTCTCTCGAGCCCAGCCAGCAGCCGCATAACGGCGCATGACATAGGCAGTCAGTGACCGAGTCGATAAAAAGTTATCCGAAATTTTGAACTATGTCTTGAAATGAAGAAGGATTACTTAAATGGGACTAAAACATTGATATACACTCGGTATACTCCCATAATATCGCCGGCCATGTAGGATGTTGTCCTATGATTGCACTTCTTTTCGATCTCCTGTAAAAAAGCGCTTGGAAAAATGACAATATTTGGTGACCTAACTCACGAAAGATGTGAGGATTTGCGATTGAATGATAATCCCTCGTAAATCGACGCTGATGCCTGAGCCCAATATCTATATTAGTAATTAAAAACTTTGGAGAATTTAAAAAACACACAAAGCGCATATATATCAGTGAGGAGGACACGACAGAGAATGCGGGTAGATTCATACAGTACTGTTCTGGGCTTATGTTGCCTTCATTCATCCAATCATAACCCTGACCAGCAGCTGGGACCAGAAACACAAACACCCGCACAGACGCACCTGGCGCAGTTGGTCCACCACTTATAGTAGATGTGCTAACTCATGAAATGTCAACCAAAATTTCGAAATGCGTTCTCGTTTCGAAAAGATAAATTAAGTAGTGTTGTAAAAATAATCATGAGGTCCACCGAATGTGTCGTAAGCACTTCATCGAACAGGTTCCTGTAACCCGATCGACGAGAAGACTTTCAATATATTTAATATTCTCGATCGCATGCGACTGGACAACGAGTCCCGCGGCTCAGTGGTCAGAGCGTCCAGACATGTGATAACCTCGAACTGATCAACTGGATTTTACTAACCAGCTTTGCTAATTTGGTCATCTGCTGAATTTATGCATTTCCATACGAAAATAGAAACATCCGTTAGAAAAAACCGTGGTGTATTCATGCATTTCCAGATGCTACAGTTACCCGTAGTTTGACAAGATCTAATTATTGTAACCTTAAATAACAACCTCTAAACAGAAATTATATGCTGGCGAGTTTGCTTTTTCTTAGCTTTTCAATGCCTACAATCAAACTGAGCGTGTGATTTTGACAAAAAAGGCCCTAGTCTAAAATCGACAAACCTACTATTATTGTTATTGCCAAGTTTTTGTGGAGTTATGAACGCATGGTTCGTAATTGCATCCATTATTGTCAACAAAGACCCCAATTTAGGCAGACTGTAAAGACATCAGATTAACCTGCACATAAAAACGATGCAGGGGTTTTTGTCACTAATCTTTTACTGGGACAGTGCGAATTGTTCTGGGTGGAAATTAGAGGGTGTTGCTTAGCCGTAAATCACAAATTGCGTGTAACTGCACCAAAAACACTCTAATAACTCAAAACCGAGCCAAATGCACTGCCGAAACGTATAGTCAAAAACGGACGACCCTCAACCGTACTAAAGTACAGAAGAAGTATTGGGAGCACTGTTACGTAGGTATGAAATGTTAATTTCTCATCGAAGGGCAGAAATGTAGAAGCCGAGTAGACTAGAATCAAATGAGTGAGTTAAATTGGCAGAGGTGCATATATCGTATGCTGGAAAACAACGTAATTACAATGGCAAAAACTTGCAAAAACAACTTTTAGCCTGTTCTTGGTTAAACATTATTCAAACGTTAGTCTGACAACGTGTCACTTGCATGCTGATGACGCACAGACCAGCCGAATGAGTTCCGACTAACCGATCAAAAACAATGAAAAACTAAGGATGGACAAACCAATTATTATCCTGCTCGCCAATGAGTGGCGATCGTTCAAAATTATTAGGGAAATGGAAGGGTTTTTAAAAACCGAATTATACGCTTCCTTCAAGTATACGCTTTGGAGAATACGCGACTTCCTATCAAATGACTAAAAGGATGAATATTCTTATGTATATTATCTATGAGATACTTTGAAGTTGTTGGGACATCGAAAATCAATGAGAAAAACTGATGCTATTTATGTTGTCGTTTTTCACGGTATGTAGTTTTTGCAGGCGGCCGAAAAGAAGTTCGTTCAAAATCTGGCAGCTCAAGTTTTCATAACTCTGTTGCGCAAGGTAGCTTTGGGCCCGTGTGCAGTTCTGACACCTAGTCCTGCAACAATGCGTTCGGTCGCCTCTGGCACGTCCCTGATGTACGGCAGGTCATGCCACGCTATAGATGCTGTCTGCGGATTCGTCCTCCGGGGGCAAACGTATGAGCATTGGTTTACGAACATCTCCGGATAGCCTTTCCGCATAAACTGGTCGCGGGGATATCGGGTCTTGCGGGCTTTTTTCCCCGAGTTGCTGCAATGTGTCCGAATCCGTTTGAAGAATATTTTCACTCGGCTTCCTTTGTGAGCCACAGTACAGTTGCTGTGAAAACTGAGAAGCCGCGTGGTGTTCGTCAACTTCCTGTAGACCGTTGCATCTATTTCGTCGTTGGGACTTCGCCGAGCGGGAACATCAAAGAAGAACAGCTACTGCTCCTTTTCTTCTTCCATCGTGAATTATATATCACGGAAGACTGAGTTGAGTAGATTATAGAAATCCTGCAGTATGTTCTCCTTGACGATGACAAACGTGCAGTTCACGTAATGACGCCGGAAGTTCGGGGCTTGCTCGTTGAAGGTAATGCTTTCCAGTTCTTGTAGGATCTTTTCTACCACTTAACCGAAGAGTGGGAAACCCACTGGAGTTTCCTTGATCTGTTCATACGTTTCTTCCACAAAAGTGAAGTAGGAATTTTGACAAAATTCGAACAGCCTGATGAGGTGATGAATTTTGGGCAGACTCTGAGTTTCGTGGTATGACAGAGCTTCAGGAGCTGAAGGATTTGGGCGTGTCCAAGACGTCTTGGACCTCTTGGATTCGAGTAGGAATCCGAAACGTCAGGCTAATAAAGCTCTTGTCCCGGTGATCGTGTCTCCTTCTTCAAGACTACTTCCTGGGACTCGGCTATTCGCTTCTATTGGCAATGTATTTGGGCGCGATGCGGTCCGATCGGCCCGGCGATGGGAAACTTTCGCCCTTCGGGAGGCCTCTACGTATTCGCAGATCCGGTTTCTGCACAGGTGTCTCGACAATAATGTGTTACCGAAATGTGTTTCATACAAGCCACCGGTTAACACGGATTTGGCGAGACGAGCAGTATTTCAGCACGGCAGAAGGATGATCCGTGTGCTCCTCCAAGATTGCCACGCGAGACTTCGTAAGTACCGTCAAAGGATTGACCAAGAAAAGACCAGATGCTGTGAGTTCATGGGTGAAATCGGCACGAATCTGCTCCGGCGGAGGATAGCTGAACAAGCCCGCGAACAGAGCACGATACGCAACGCAGCACTGGAGAACAAATTTCGAAAGCTGCCCAATCCAACGTCGCCCAGAAACGACAAACGGGTGCACAACCTGTCATCAAAGGAGCTGACGAAGGATCAGATGCAGGTTTTACGGCACGAAGCTTCATTTAACACGGCTGACGCCAAACCTGTTAACATGATTGCAGCAGTGGAATCAATCCTTTGTCAGACGGAGGCAACGGAGGAGACTAAGAACCTCATCCGACACCAAGTGTCGTCTCTCCTGATGGCCCACAGGCCGCGGGAAGTGCTTTCCAAGGTCGAACGTGATGCGCTTAGAGAACTCAAGGCCGACAAAGACCTGGTCATCGTGCCAGCGGACAAAGGACGCGCCACAGTTGTACTGGACAGGACAGACTACCTTCAAAAAGCCAAAGGTTTACTGGAGGACCGACAGTTCTATGTCCCATGTGCAACGAACCCTTTAAAGGCGCTGACACGCGAAATTAATGCTACGTTGTTGGCCTTGGAGAACTCAGGTGCAATAACACCGACCGACAGACGCATGGCGAGACCCCAAGATACGGCTTTGGCCCGATTCTATGGCCTCCCTAAGGTGCACAAAGACGGTGCTCCTCTCCGACCCATCGTGTCGCTCAAAGGGACTCCAACGTACGGACTGGCTAAGTGGCTGTTCTGGCGTCTCAATTTCCTGACCGCAGAGTCAGACACCACGGTCTCTTCGTCGGCACAATTCCTGGAGAAACTCAAAGGGGTAAGCATCCATCCAAATGAGGTCATGGTATCTTTTGATGTTACATCCCTTTTTAGTTCTATTCCTCAGGACCTGGCGATCGAGACAATTGAACTGCTACTACAAAGCAAATACGATGAAACGGAGAACCGTCTTGGACACGCCCAAATCCTTCAGCTCCTGAAGCTCTGTCTCAGGACGTACTTCACGTTCGACGGGACAATCTACGAACAGGTGAAGGGAACACCAATGGGTTCGCCGATTTCGGGATTCATCGCCGAGGCGGTCCTGCAACGGTTAGAGTCGCTGGTCTTCCAACACCGAAGACCGAAATTCTGGGCCCGGTATGTGGATGATACCTTCGTCGTCATCGAACGGGATCAGGTGTTGACATTCCAAGAACATCTCAACGCCGTCTTCCCGGACATTCAATTTACGATGGAGGAGGAAGAGAACAACCAGCTAGCCTTCCTGGATGTCCTCGTATGCCGCAAGGATTGTGGTGGACTAAAGACCAAAGTGTTCAGGAAAGCGACAAATACGATGCAAGTACTGAACTTCAACAGTAACCACCCAATCAGCCACAAACGCAGTTGTGTAAGGACGCTCTATCGGCGTGTCGAAACGCACCGCAGTGAGCCGGAAGACAAAATTGCTGAACTACAATACCTCCGACGGGTCTTCAAAGCCAATGGCTACCCGCGCAACTTCGTCGACCGGTGCATACGCAAAAGGGACGAAAGGCCTAACCGCACGGACACCAAATCTTGGCGGACACTTCCGTATGTCAAGAACGTTTCGGAAGCTGTCGGCCGCCTTCTCGCACCACTTGGGGTTGGGGTGGCACACAGACCGGACGCAACCATCAGGCGTCTGATCATGAAACCGAAAGACCCACTGCCACGGCTAGAAACGTCTGGAGTCGTTTATCGGATCTGGTGCAGTTGCGGACAAAGCAACTACGTCGGAGAAACCGGAAGACAGCTCCGAACGAGAATGGCCGAACACGCGGCAGCGGTGCGCAGAAATGACGCCAGCTCTCAAGTTGTAGCTCATTCGACGAGATCCGGCCACACATTTAAATTCGATGAGGCCGAAATTCTCGCAAGAGGTGACAAACGCGTGAGCCGGGAGCTACTGGAATCATGGTTTACTGGCCCCCAGTCCATCAACAAGTGCAACGATCTTCCCATTCAATACAGCGTGCTGAGACTTCGTCTAGGCGGAGTAATTGGCCACGCGGGGAGCGCACTGGTGAACACTCTTCCCAACACCCGGGTCAACGCGTCAGATGGTCGAGCAATCATCACGCCAACATCCAACACACGTGATGAAATTGCAGCAATTATCGACTCGAATGTCGGCCATCAAGCAATAATCACATCAAGTGTGACAATCCCGGATGAAGGGGGGAGCCGTGAACGTTCATAGGTATGCGGTAGCATGGCTACTGCATCCTATAAATACCGCAGCCCCTTGTGCAACAACCACCCGTTTCTGCTCTTTTGTCTTTGATGATGGATTTGAGTAGGAATCCGAAACGTCAGGCTAATAAAGCTCTTGTCCCGGCGATCGTGTCTCCTTCTTCAAGATTACTTCCTGTGACCCGGCTCTTCGCTTCTATTAGTTTTCTAATTGCCGAATAATTTTGAGCCTGATAGTTCGTTGCATTAGTACTTAGTGATTTCCCTCTACAAGGTGCATGCGTTCCGCGTACAGAAAATCACATATTTTTCTATGCCATTAAAGAGATATCATACAGAGTCCATAAAATTTTGCAATGAATGCGGACCGTGTTTTACATTTCATGAGGAGCAGTGGTAAACGGCCAGGTACGATGCTATGTGAATGGACATTTCGCGGTCTTAAAAAATCTCATAATTAGAAACTTTTTTAAAACCTAATTATACTCCTTCCTTAAGTATAGAATATAAAGAAGACGTGATTCTCTATTGATTGACTAAAAGAAAGCATATTTTTGCTTATGGTTTCTATAAAATATATTTTAATTTCCACGATCATCTAAAATCGATGGGAAAAATGCATGCCACTTAAGTAGTCATTTTTTACCGAGTACGCTTTCTACAGGAAATTGAAAAGAAATGCATTTAAAAGCCTAAATCCTGCCGAGTCCTAAATGTTATAAGAGTATGCCTTAAGATAATCAGTATTACAACCGCGACCAAGTAATCCTTCCTAATCGAAAACGCATTTCAGAATTTCAGCCAACATTTCATGAGATGGGTCACACACTGTAAAGGGTAAAGACAACAGAGCACTATTCGGCTTCGCTGGGGGGGGGGGTGACTTGCCTTGTGGCCTCCAGCGGGATTGCAGACGAAGTTTCATCTTAGAGGTGCCGAGGCGGCGATCGATCTGTCCAGCAATGGTGGGAGACGAGCCGATTTACCATGTTTGGTTCACACAGCAAATGACCAGGATATTAACCAACAACAACAACAATGGGTAGAGCCGCAGGGATCCTAATGTGCGCGACAAATGCGAGCAACTGGGTCTGCCACCGCATCCCGAAATGTTGGCATTTGTGATGGTGCTCATTCCAATAACGCCTGCCAGAATCCGATTTGGCCCCCGTGTTGGTCCAGCGAATCTACCACGTGGTCCGTTTGGGGGGGAGGAGTACACACAAGCCAGGAATCGCGTCAGTGACAGTTGATAAACCGATGTAGGACAGAATAAGCAAGGCGTGTTGGATGGAGCTTCGTCGCTACCAGGGGGTCCGAATACAAGGGTGGGGATCATCTTTGAGACTTTTATCATCGCAATAACTGCCTGTTGTAAACAATCATCTTACTATGCTGTGGAGGGGAAAGAAGTAAGAGACAGTAAAAATAGAGAGAGAGAGGCATGCGAATTAAACATCCTAAAGGAGTGATATCCCTTTTTTAAATAAAAAATGACGGGAGATCAGACAAACAATGAACGGGGAGTACAAGCGTCTGAAATCAAAGGGTTAATGGCTGAATCCCCACGCACGACGGGCAGCAGCAAACAATTGTCTTCAGAAAGGACGTTGGCTCATCGTTCAGACCAGCAGATTCCTCAACTCGACCATCTGACAAAGTAGGCAGAAGGGCATTACCGGAAAAGACAAAGGAGACTAGGATGGCCGTTTCTGGATGGCAAGCCGTCATCAGCCAGCCATACCCAACTCCGAACCATGCACCTCCAGAGGATAGAACTCGCGATCTGCCGGTTAGAAACTCAAGGCCCTAACCACTGAGACACTGGCTTTCTGTCCCATCGATTGCGATGGAATGTTTTAACGAAGGTAGCGGGCCACACATTTCAGTCTGCCTTGTCTTTGTTTGTAAAGTCATTGTGCATTTATCAGGTGCCGCTGTGCGACTGCTGGCAGGGCTCCAGAAAGAGAGAGAGAGCCCCAAGGCACAAGGGGACGACTGAGTTCCGCAACGCGATCGGTGCGCGACCCTCTACCTGAGAAATTATCCGTAAAAATAACTGTTAATGCAATATACTATACAGCATAGGAAGCATTTTCGGCGATTACCTTACAGATGGCCCAGATGCTGAAATTTAAGAAATTCGCATTTATATTACGGAAATCTGAGACAAATTGAGTCCTAGCAAGTGCTTTTTAACACATGTCGCATAAGTACATGCAGCATATGTTGGATGTAGTGATACAAATGGCCTGTGTAAGGGAGCACACCTCGTCCTCAGATAAGTTCTCTGACGCAAGGAATCCCATATGAGTGTGCTGTGTAACTTCCTCATTGCCTGGACTTTCTGAAGAACTCCATAAATTGATATAGAAAGAGGGCACTTTTGTAATGGCCTCCGGACATTTTTTAGACATTTTTAAAAACAGCATATGGAAATACAGTAGATGTGCTAACTCATTAAAAGTCAACCAAAATTTCGAAATGCGTTCTCGTTTCGAAAAGATAAATTAAGTAGTGTTGTAAAACTAATCGTGATGCAGCATAAATCTATAATTATTCAGTTACCTCAGGGTGTCGGCTTTCGAAAGAACTTATTTTCGGCTGCATGCAAGATCTATACTCTGCAAAAATGTCTACTTAAGTAGCATGCAATTTTCTCATTGGTGTTCGATGCCTTTGAAAATTCAATTATATTTCATGGAAAACATGCTAAGATATTCATTCTTTTATTTATTCTGTAGAAAATCACGTCTTCTTCCAATTTCATACTCGAAAGAAGAGTATAATTCGGTTTTAAAAGGTTTATAATTGTGAGATTTTTTAATACCGTCAAATGGCCGTTCATGAAACGTCATGTATCTGCATTTACGAATGTGGCTTGTAAAGTTAACAATATTGCTCAAATCCATTGCCTAATTTTATGAACCTCATATGCTCTCCTCTTAACACCGTAGAGAAATTCATGCAATATTGTTTACTTTACAAGCCACATTCGTAAATGCAGATACATGACGTTTCATGAGCGACCATTTAACGGTATTAAAAAATCTCACAATTAGAAATTTTTTAAAACCGAATTATACTCTTCTTTCGAGTATAAAATTGGAAGAAAACGTGATTTTCTACAGAATAAGTAAAAGAATGAATATTTTTATGCACGTTTTCCATGAAGTATAATTGAATTTTCAAGGACATCGAAAGTCAATGAGAAAAGTGCACACTACTTAAGTAGTCATTTTTTGCAGAGTATAGATCTTGAATGCAGCCGAAAATAAGTTCTTTCGAAAGCCGACACCCTGAGGTAACTGAATAATTATAGATTTATGCTGCATCACGATTAGTTTTACAACACTACTTAATTTATCTTTTCGAAACGAGAACGCATTTCGAAATTTTGGTTGATATTTCATGAGTTAGCACATCTACTGTATATGCAGCATAGCTTGGATTTAGCGATACAAATGACCTGTGTAAGGGAGCGCACCACGTCTTCAGATAATTTCTCTGACGAATGAAATCCCATATGAGTGTGCTGTGTAACTTTTTCATTGCCTGGACTTTCTGGAGAACTCCATAAATTGATATAGAAAGAGGGTATTTTTATAATGGCCTTCGGATATTTTTTAAGCATTTTTAAAAACAGCATATGGAAATACTGCATTGTTTGGTTCAAAAGGGTGAAATACCTACCTTCTGTTTTATGAATAGAGCACCGTTATGAAAATACTAAAATTTTCTGCATTGGGCAATGAATTTAAATTTTTGTCCAGTGAAAGAAAATGAATGCTGATAGCAGGAAGCCCACCATTTGTTGAGAAGGCAAAAACTGCTCAGGGTGTTCTTCAAGTGCGACTCTCGGGGCATGAATATTTGATAACCTTTATTGCGCAAAGCAAATAAGGCACGAAGGTCGCCAATTTGACTTTTTGCCCTGACGTTTGCCAGTTTAATTTAATTGGGTAGCCGGAAACTTTAAAGGCCACCTCATCAAAAGATAGGACGCAGTTTCGTGACTTAGGCATTAGTCTAAAAAGGAGTCGGTTTTAGCTGTGGTATTTTTTTTCCTGAAACCTGAATACTGCTGTTCATTGGGCCACCTTCGGTTGCGTGATGAAATGATACCAAAGTTTTGTCTGGCGCAGACGTCAAAATACGTACGTCCTTTTGTTCGACAAAAATATCGGCTTTGCGTTCTAAAATGAGAATCCTTTTTGCATATTTTGGCAACGATATAGAGAAGGGCGCCAATTAACTGTCAGTAGACTGTGGATCGTGCAATACGTGATTTATGGTAAAGGGAGATTTAGGGGTGGGACAGCAGGCTAGACAGTAAGCTGACAAAATGAAAGAACACACAAGAATTGCCCGGATGTATACCGGAAGTCTTATCCTACGCTATTCTATGTCAAAGGAAATGAGAGTAGTAATTAGACAATTCACGAAAAGCAAATTTCACAAAATAACGGGTGTTGAGTTAAGGTGTGAGGTCGTGAGAAGTAATCGTTGTCGGCAGTGTAGTTTCTGCAACAGCCTGCAAAGGTATGTCAGGATAAAACCCCATATGCCACGATCCCCCCTCTATTGACAGTTAAGCTGGGTCCTCCTCTATACCGTTGCACATCTTTTTAACAAACGGGTGCCCGGTGGATGCGTAATATAGTCTGAATATTGCCTGACGCAAAAGTCAAAATACGTACGTTGTTTTGTTCAACAAGAATATCGGCTTTGTCATCTAAAGTAGGAAATCTTTTCGTATCTTTTTAACAAACGGGTGCCTTATGGGTGCGTAATATAGTCATACAGTTAGTATTAGACATTCTGAAAAAAGTTCCAAATGTTAACTTTTACCATCTTCTAAAGTATCTTATGTGATGTAATCGACGGTTCTATTCAAGCCACCTTTGGAATTCGTGTATTATTGGCCAAGCTGGCGACATGAACATCCAAGCTACTCGCCTGAGAAGAAGGGTCCTGGCTTAATGCTCCCTGACCTTACATGACGTATTGGCAGTGATGACCTATGTCTTGTTCAGCTATAGAACCACACTGTCATCGGTGTGAGATTTTTGGCCCGATCCCCCAAACTAGACGTAAGTTTTGAGCGTATTTGCAGCCTTGCATTAACATGGGTTCCAAATGCCAAAGAACGGGAGATTAGTAGATGAATGAAGGGGGCATTCATCCGCTTCAGAATTAAAGACAGCTTTATAGTCGTGTCTAACAAAATATTAAATGCTTGGTTAACGCTTGTCACAACTACGTTTCCACTGTTTCGTGTCATGCGAGCACTGAAACGACACGCCTAAGCATGGAAACATGTCGTTTAAGTGATCCATTTATATATATGATATATAAATGTTTTGTTTGGCAATAGAACCACGCTGTCAGCGGAGTGAGATTTTTGGCCCGGACTCCGCAAACGCGACGTAGGTTTTCGGCATATTTGTAGCCTTGCATTAACATGGGCTCCAATTGCAAAAGAAAGTGAATTTTAGCAAAATATATTTACAATATAATAAGCACACTTCCCGTAAGATACGAGATCTCTAATGAGTTAATTACTTTATGCATGCTTTATTGGCGAGATTAGTAGACGGATAAGGGAGACGTCCATCTGCAACTAAAGCAGACAGTTTTAAGTCGAGTCTAACAAAATATTAAAGGCTTGGCTAACGCCCGCATCTCAGTCATTAATGGCCAAAATGCCATCTTCCAACGTTGGTTACAAATGGCAAAAGGGCCCGGACATTTTCCACACTACTTCAAGTATGCGTTATTTGCGTGATCACTTACAATGCGCACGAAAAGTCTCACCAATGGATACTGTGGAAGGCAAGATAAGTGAGTCTGTTCGTGGGCTGCCCGCTCATAGAATCGAGGCACAAGCAGCTTGCGACAGACGCATTTGTCTTCTCTGGCAGGAATTTCGATTTCGCCTTTTCAGTATAATTACGGTGGAATTGCATAACGCCCAGATTTGCACGCACGATCGTTGCTATCTTTACCGAGAGGCAGACAAGGCGCGTGTCCACCGACCAAGAATGCATTTAAATCACAGTACTGTATCGAGCCGTATTCAGTGGATCGCCGTAATTAGTCTAAGGGACGCATTAACGAGAAACGAACGGTCAAGCAGACGCACCTTACTGGTGTAGCCGAAAAGTTGCCTTAAGCGCTCTGTCTGACACAATTTTCCCAGCGGCAGTAGAGGGGATGCCGAAATTGGTCAAACTTAGTGCTCGTCGTTGGCTCAAGCAGATAATTCGAAGAGTGGTCATGCAACAGAAGGGGGATTTGCCAACCAGAAATCGCAAGCAATTGCATATTTGAGAAGAAACTGCACAGAGATAAGAAACGGCCGGTAACATCTCAAAAAGAGGACTAAGAGATTGCATACTTGCTAGATTTTCTTGACTTTCAAATGTTCTTAAAACAGGCAATGACACAGACTCTGAACCCCACACAATTCTCAGAGTTGTCATGCAACGGAAGGGCGATTTTCCAAACAGAAATCTCAAACAGCTGCCCATAACTGGGAAATTAGTCCCCATGTCTGGAAGAGGCGTGCACACGCTAACGAACAATCGTGAACGAGGGCAAACATTTAAATCTGGTAATGTTTGTTGTGCCAATTTATGTTTCTTCGTAAGTCCATGGAGCAGATGAAAGAGCTAGTACGCTGGGAGACGCAGGGAAAACCATCGTGCGCCCGTTCCAGTGCGTATGCAAGGCGGACTATTAAAAAAACACTGTTACGCTGTTCCGCTACACAAAAACGATAGCCACATCGCCATGGGACATAACTCGGGCATCCAATTTTATACTCGAAAGAAGGGTATATTTAGGTTTTAAAAAGTTCCTAATTGTGAGTTTTTTAATACCGTGAAATACCTGCTCATAAAACGTCAAGTGTCTGCATTTACCAATGTGACTTGTGAAGTTAAAAATATGGCTCAAAACCACTGCTAAAATTTATGCACCACATATGGTTTGCTCTTAATGCCGTAGAATAATGAATGATTTTCCGTACGCAGAAAATATACGCAGGTCGATTTCAAAATTATTTGGGAATTTGAAAAGTTTTTGAAAATCGAATTATACCCCTTTTTGAGTATAAAATTGAAAGAAGACGACATCTTCTATTGAATGAATAAAATAATGAATGTTTATGCATGCCTTCTACAAAGTATAATGAAATATTTAAGGGTATCGAAAATCAGTGGGAAAAATACATGCTACTTAAGAATTCATTTTTTATAAAGTATACTTCTTGTATGCAGCAAAAAAAGAAAATCGTTCGAAAATCGGCATCCCGCGGTAGCTGAATAATTATCAAATTATGCTGCAAGATGATCAGTTTTACAACCCTACCTAATTAATCTTTTCGAAAAGAAAACGCATTTCGGAATTTCGGTTGACATTTCATGAGTTAGCCCACCTACTGTACCGAGCCATGTTCAGTGGATCGCCCTATTTTGTCTGAGAGATGCATTAACGAGATACAGACGAACAGGCAGACGTACTCAACTTGTGTGTCGTCGAGCTACTCTTTTTTGCGCTCAATCTGGCGCAATTTGTCAAGCTGAATGCTCGGCGCCGGCTCAGGCAAAGGATTCGAAGTGTGGTCATGCAACGGAAGGGTGATGTGCCAACCAGAAATCGCAAGCAATTGCCCATAACTGGTAAACTAGGTCACTTATCTGAAAAAAAACAGAAAGAAGAAACCACCGGGAGCCTCGCAAAATAGCGGACTAAGAGATTGCATATTTGCTAGGTTTTCCCGACTTTCAACTGTTTTCAAAACAGACAGTGACCCAGATTAAGAATTCCTCAAGAATTTTAGGCGGGATCCGAGCAGAGGAGAGAGCTAGTGCGTTGGGCGACGCAGAAAAAACCATCATGAGCCCGTTCCAGTGCGTATGCAAGACAGGTCATTCAAAAGCACTGCTCTGCTGTTCTGCTACACCAGAACGATAGCCAAATCGTCATAGGTCATACCTCGGGCCGTACTCTGCCTGTCTTATCTGTGCGTGTGGCACGAGGCACGGACAAGTCACTGAGAAAATGAGGCTGATAATGCGGTTCCCTTCCTCAGCCACTGTGACAATTTGACTCATTTCCCACTTAAATAGATCTGACTCGTCTACACTTATGAAGAATGTGCGCGATATCTGAGCGGCAGTTAGGCTGGAATGACCTTCATGGTTCATTCCACTCTTGTGAAATCTACGCCCGTCGGTAGACAGCGACTTCACAACAAGTCAGCCACTGCACCCGACCCAACACCCTGCAGTCGGCTTCATTCGGATTGGCTGCTGGTGTACGGCAGAGGGATGAAAGTCTGCTGTCTATCTAGCTCGATGTCAGTGCCTACCTCCTCCCAATTAATTATCCAACACGCCTCAGGCTATCGCGAGACGCCAAGAGTCGTAGTCTTCAGTGTGACAGCTCTGATGACGCAAACCGATCTCACTCTCTGCTCAGAGTTGGGCTGCAGTGCCATCTGTTCACTGGGATTAGTATGACATTTCTGGCCGGTTAGAAAGATGAAGATTCCCTTCTAAAAAACGGATTATATTCACTTAGGTAGCAGTTCGTATTTAACAAGCTTAGAGGGGCGACCTTGTCAGCCACCGCACACACACACACACCCGCCCACCTCCAGCCGTCTTGACTTTGCTCTACCGGAGGAATAGAATCCGTCTGGGAGGGCAGACTGGGGTGGATGTAGCGCAGACGTGCTTCGCTGTAAATAAATTTAAGCACAGATCACGGTTGTGCCATCTCCGGAGACGGTGGCGGTCATTTTCGCTTTTGGCTAGCTCTCACGCATGCAAATTACTATTACACAGTGGGTGGTAGGCTGTCCTGAAGGACTCATCGATGTCAGATCCAGCGTTTGCATTGTAGCGTTAATCACTGAGAGTGTTTAGGTGGGAGATTTAAGAATGGATTTAAATCGCTCTGACTGTCTTATGCGGAAATGGTACATTTTGGCTGTGTTGTAATTATTGCAAGTATGCAATCATACTTTGTTTCGAGAGTATGCCCTGTGTCGCCTCAGCCCTCAAAAGTTGCACATGGTGGACGTCCTTGCTTGAGATGGCTGAAGTGTCGTCGATTCAGAGGGGCGGTAATCGAACCACTTGCTTTTTGCAAGAGAACTTTGCCGCTTATTCGATATCGTGCTTATTCATAACTAGCATCCAAAAACTATGCCTTTCAAAATCGTTTCTGTAGACGTGTAAGTATGACTGTCAGAGGTAAATTCTATGAACTGAATGGGAAAAAGAACCTTTTTTGGTAAAAGAATCGGCTCTTTGAAATGACCAATGAAAGGAAAAAGTAGAAGACGTAAATTGGCCATTGATTTCCTGCAAATATATTTTATAAAAAACATCAACAACCGACGGCCGTCTGCTGCATTGACTATGCCGCCGCGTTCCATTCCGTTCACCGTGAGTCCCTGTGGCAGATAATGGCGCTAGATGGTGTGCCGGCAAAAATCATCGCAATGATAAAGGCCTACTATCGCTCCACTACTGCGAGAGTCCTGGTCCGCAACAATCTTTCCCAACCGTTCGGTATTCGGTCCTGCGTCCGACAGGGTTGTATCCTGTCACCCATACTGTTCAACTACGCTATTGACTGGATCCTCGGGAGGGCCCCACGCGAGAGTGACGGCGTTGAGTTTTCCCCCGGACATCGACTGACTGATCTCGACTATGCCGATGATATCGCCTTAGTTGCTTCAAGTTTTGGTGATCTGCAGTCTATGGTGTCACGCGTGAACGAGGTCGCTAAATCTGTCGGTTTGTCCATAAACGCTGGGAAGACCAAAGTGTTCTCAAGCTGCATCCCTGACCAGGAGATGGCACCCCTCGGGATTGATGGCTGTCAACTTGAAGAAATAGATAGTTTTAAGTACCTCGGGGCGAGGCTGCTGCATAATGGACAGAGTAAGGACGACATTGTCTCCTGAATCGAGGCTGCCCGCTGGGTTTTCTCAAGTTTTCGGAAATGTCTATGGAACCGAGGTGACCTCTCCGTCGCCACTAAGATTCGCGTGTACCGTGCATCCGTCCGGTCTGTCCTTCACTACGGTCGTGAATGCTGGGCTTTGCGCGTGGAAGACGAGTGAAAACTGGAGGTATTTGACCACCACTGCCTGAGGACCATCCTTCGAGTGAAGTTCACCGACTTCGTCTCAAATGAGACAGTCCGCGCTCTCTGCGACAACATCGCAAGTAGAACTCAGGCCATCCAAGAAAGACGACTGTTGTGGTTCGGGCATGCTCTTCGTCGGCCACCTCAGGAGCTCAGTGTTACTGCCCTCGATCCGGCCCCGTTGCCCCATTGGAGGTGTCGACGAGGGGGTCAGTTCAAAACCTGGCTGGACACAGTTCGTCAAGACATGGAGGTGGTTCTTGGACCTGCGGTATTCGGTCTCCGTCGTAGGCGAAGGGAATGGGTTGAGCTGTCCAGATCTGCTGCTGCGGATCGTCGCGTGGAGAGGTACAGTTCGGGGCATCATCGAGGCCGGCTAGATCAGGCATGATCGCAGCCGTATCAAGTACAAGTATGAAAAAAATATGCTTTCATTCACTCGTTTGACAGAGAACTACGTCATCTTTATATTTTGTGCTCGAAAAAGGAGTATAATAAGGTTTTAAAAGCTTTCTAATTGCCGAATAATTTGGAGCCGGATTAGCCTTTGCATTAGCGCTTAGTGATTTCAGTCTGCAAGATGCATGCGTCCCGCGTAAAGAAAATCATATATTCTTTTATGCCGTTGAAAGATATAGAGAGTCCGCAAAATTTTGCAATGGATGCGGACTATGTTGTACATTTCATGAGGAGCAGTAGTAGACGGTGTGGTACGATCCTGTATGAATGGACATTGCACGGTCTTAATAAATCTCATAATAAGAAACTTTTTTAAACTTTATTATGCTCCTTCTTCGAGCATAAAATACAAAGAGGGCGTAATTCTCTGTCAAACGAGTGAATGGAAGCATATTTTTTCATGTTCTCTATAAAACACATTTGAATTTGTAAGACCATCGAAAATCAATATGAAAAATGCATGCTACAAAAGTAGTCATCTCTTTTTAAGTACGGTTTTCACAGGAGATTGAAAAGAAGTGTATTCAAAAACAGACATCCTGTCGAGTCCGAAATACTTTAGGACTATACCGCAAGATAATATATATTAGAACACCACCTAAGTAATTCTTCCTAATCGAAAACTCATTTCATTTCATTTTGGTCAACATTTCGTGAGATCGGTCACTCAAAGAAAAATTCTATAAACAGAATCGGAAGAAGAGCCTTCTTTTGGTAAAAGAAACAGCTCTTTGAAATGATCAAGAGAAGGGGAATGTAGAAAACGTAAATTGGCCATTGATTTTCTGCAAAAGCTTCTACGCGGAACACGAAGAAGGGCAGAGGCCGACCAAATGAAGCGGTCTAGGGGGACGGAGTTCTTCCTGATGAAGAAAGTCATAAGCTAATGAGCCCCTGCGTTTGCAGCGTAACGAGAAAGCGGCTCATGTCATAGAGGATCCTCCACAGCCAACATGAACCTATATTTTGGAACCGTTGTTTTGACCGCAGGTTCGTAATGGTCAGGAGAGAGTTTTGCATCAGACCCTCAACCCGCAGGGCGGGATCTTCCCAGATATGCGGGGAGGGAGGAAGAAGCAGAGCAGCAGTTGCGCAAACAGAAGCTGATGACAGTTGAACTCTCGTGAAAGATTATGTTCATTGTGTCACCCACTGACGGCATGGACGGTTACTTGCACATGAACTTGTTTACAATAAGCGTGCGCAGCATATGCCGTACTCCTCCCTCACTCATCCAAGTCCGGTGTCAAGAGACAGTCAACAAGACAGGCGATGGGATGGTGGTTCCGTGACTGCCAAAACTAAATAGCCCACTTTCGCGTGCCACACACACGTCCGGTCAGCGCATGATGGGTCAAGTCTTCCAAGAAACAAGGACCGGCTCGGAATCCGATTGAGTGAGAGTTACATATTCGGAGGGAACCATTGCATCCTGACTCTCCTTCCTGCATGTAGCGACTCACCCCGTCACCTGGCAAGCTACGAATTCTGGTGTACTTCGATTGTTTCAGTTGTGTTAGAATTAGTGGAGCGAGGAGTAAGTTTATGTGAGGCGGGATCGGAGTCTCACTCTCTCTCTTCCCTCTCTCAGGCACCAGTTCGCTGTCCGAACCGGACAGCCGTCCAATGTGGGGATTGTGACAACTGGTCGGCGCGGCGTGGGTCTGCGTCTAGGCCTGCCACAACACTTCCGATTGCGATATTTGTTTAGGGGTGCGCAGTTCGGATGACGCACTGAGCCGAGCCCTTATCTGAGTCCCGTTTTGGCCCAGCGGTGCTCCTGTGAGACCCGTAATACACACCCACACAGACGCCTTCAGTGGGTGAAACACAGACTGAGTTCTGTAAAAACGCCCTTCAAACAGATCCTTACCAGTTACAAAAACCCGGACTAGAAAGAATGTGGGCATCCCCAGTTTCGAGGCGAATATATGCGAGATGATCAGTACAGGATTTTTTTAATCTGTTGCCTCAGTTATTTCTCTGGAAAGCATCAAAAAACACTCTTCCATGTATAAAAATTGTTCCATTTGTAGTTGAAAATCCTGTCAAAGAACCAGGATTTGCTCCCGAAAATCAACCCAAAGACTGACTGAATTGAATTGAGTAGTCACGCATAATCCATCGTATCCTATGCTAAAGTGTTGCAAGCAATTATGCAGGTCGGACCGGAATGAGGCCGGGTTCATGCGTGCCAGTTATTTTTATTCGATGCCGCTGCCTTCGAGCCGGGTGATTCATCCTAACTCATGGCCGTCATGGTAATTCCTCAAACAGGATGTCAGACAAGTCCTGACTTCAGTTAGGCTCGTTTCCAGCCAATCTGTATTTCTCGTCCCTGTGCAGAGTTCTGCGTAATCGCCAGCCCCAGGCTACATGATTATTTATACTACTAACAACACGGGTAGTAGTTAAAAGTCCAGACACGCGTGTTTCGCTGATCGTGTGCCGCTGACATACGCAGCCGCTAGGGGTTCGGCTCATCAGTAAGTTCCCCAGCCTACCCCATGTGTTTTTTCGTATCTGAACTTCAGTTACATCTTGCCTCGTTTAATGTCCGAGGACATTCATGCGCGAACTTTGAGTAAACGCTTGGGCACGGACTTGAAAGCAGAAGTCATATATCAGAAAACACGTGGGGAACGCCTGAGAGTTTGACCGTCGTTGCCGACGACTTCGACTGTGTGTTCCACAGCGAGGTGTGAGCAGGTACGATGGATTGCGTATGAATTGGCTTATAGTGGTAATACACATGCGCTACATCTACTGCACTCTCCTCTCCTCCCCCAGCTGGGATCGATGACAAGACAGAGTCAAGAAGACTGAAGGGGGGACGCAGGTGGATGGCACGGTCGAGTCTGCACCTTGGCTTTCCACCCCACACGCCCTGGTTCACACAACAAGGGATTAGGATTTTAACCAACAACAAAAATGGGAGAGGGCCACAGGGGTCCCAATGTGTGCGACGTCTGCCGGCAACTGGGTCTGCCACCCCACCCTGAAGTGTTGGCATTTCTTATGGTGTGCATTCCGATAACGCTTGCCAAAAGCCGATATGACCCCCGAGTTGGTCCGGCGCGTATACCGCGTCGCCCGTTTGGGGAACCATCGCAGCTGCGTCAGGCAGCGACATACGGTCGGGCAAACACGCATGTCTGAGATTTTAACTAGTACTTGTGCCGTCAGTATGCCAACTAGTTACGTAGTTGTATGCTACTGACTGCCTGGCGCCAGTTTAGAAATAATACGCCGTTTATTCCACAGCAGTTGATGGATTTCACCTCCAGTATTCATATAAACTCTCCGGCCGAGCCGGAAAAGGTCTGTTCCGAGGGAGTTATCCAAGCTCTTACATTAATTCCTTTGGAAATTAAACAAGGCGTCACCAGGCTTCCGATAATAGCTGTTACGTTTTAAAATGCTCCAATAAATCCCGCACTTATCTTGTTTCAATAGAATTTATGGTCACGTTCAAGGGCCAAAACAGCAGCTTCAGAACTAAATGAATCCCGTCCGTCGGATCGGTAAATGTGGAAAGGTTCAACCGTCTGCCACAACTTAAAATGCAACTATAGTCATCTTCCGCAGTAATTATAAAATATCAGAACAATATTGCGCGACAGTTCAGACACATTGTCAGCACGCATCAGTTGTGACATATTAGAGATACGAATGCAACCTGAGTGACTGCTATAAATTTGACAAGCAACAGGTGTGTGGCAGACGATTTCAAGCCTGTCCGTTCGAAACGACATTACCGAGTCAGTGATATGTCCGACAATAACAAGGAGCATCTGAACGAATTCTTATTGACTTGTAATATTGTGCACTTTTTGATTATAAACAGTCATTTTACCAATATTTCGGGTCCCTCTCTCATACCTGTTTCCTCGGATTGAAGGGCTGGCAGTCAGAAAGGACTTTTCTTATCATGAATAGCGTGAAACAATTTCATTCCTGTGTGAGTACAGAAACTGCGACTTGAGAAATTAGCCATCCATCTGAACCACATCAAACAACCCGAGATTCAACCTCGCACGGCATCCCGACTTCAGCGTTGATAGCAGTAGCCAGGCAGGGAACGTGTAGGCAGAGAGGCGGAAAAAGTAGTACACCATCGTCTTCTACTTATTCTGCTGGCGACAGAAACACACACATGCGCTCGCACACAGTGCTGGAAGCAAACAGACGCCTTCCATCACATAAGTCATAAATAATTTGTCCAATTGAAGTCCATCGATGCCTTACCATAGGAAGATTCTCCGTCGCTGCAGATCGCGTCTCTTTTATTATATCTGATGGAAGTAGGCATTTGCGGGAAACCTCACCTAATCAACGACCAGTTGTTCGGTTCAT